CGGGAGGCAGCATCTAGGTGGCCCTGGAGGTCGAGGAGGGCCCTGGGAGGGCCGGCACGCAGCTGGCTGGCCTCGTCGCTATAGGTCCTCTTGTGGGTAAGCAACTTAGGAGACTGAGTAGAGTCCCTGCCTGGAAAAGAAACAGAAGTGCAGTTAGCGCCTGGGAAGAGAAGCCCACTTCCTGGCCGCCCCAGGGTGGTGCGCGGTCGAGGGTGGCCCTTGCGCTCCCGCTCACCCCCTTCGGTGGAAAGCCAGCTGCTGCGGCTCCGGGGGCGGGGCTCGGCGCCGGGCCCCTGGTAGACCAGGCTTCCGCTGGCCGAGGACAGGGTGCTGTCGGAGCCCAGTGAGGTGTTGGACTGGGTCAGGGACGACTTGCGCAGCTTGTTGCGGAGGAAGAAGCCTTTGGCTTTGCCCATCTTGCCCAGGCTGCCCAGCTCAGGGTCCTCCAGGGCGCTGCTGGGGAGGATGGCCGAGGCGGATTCCAGGTCGAACTTCTTCTTGCCCTTCATCTTGTCCTTGATCTTGCTGAAGGGAGACCGCGGCTTGTCCTTCATGGACAGGTCGAACATGCTGGCGCTCAGGTTGTTGCGCGTGAACTGGATGGAGACTTGGATCTCGCCTCGCTCCTTCTCCTTCTTGCCCGGCTTGGAGTGCAGCTTGTACCACCTGTGCAAAGAGGGGAGTGTGCAGAGCTTGGGTCACAGGGGAACTGGGGGCCCGGCTGCCACCACGGCAGGCACCTCGCAGAGCCCCTCCTCGTTTTGGGGCCATGAGAGCCTGTCCCACGGGCTCCTGTTATCACACATGGGCCCAGGCTTCCAGGCCTCAGACGTGGCTGAGAAACTATCCAGAACTTCTCAGAGATGGAAGAAGCCGCATCCTGGGTGGGGAAGCCCTTCAGGTACAGCAGGGCAGGGCCGAGCAGGGCAGGGCCGGGCAGGGCAGGGGTTCCCACTCCCCCATCCCCTCCTCACCCAGCACCTTCCCCTGGGGCTCAGAGACCTCCCTTTTCTCGCTCCTCCTAGATCTAAAACTCTGAGGCCTGGTGGGACAGAGCAGGACCTGGGAGGGACCCCACAGCTCCAGGACCCTGGTACAGACAAGACTATGCTCGGTTTTCTCTGTTACTTCATCTTTTCAGGCCAGTCCCAGCCCAAGCACTACTCTGAGCCCCCAGTAAGCCCAGAAAGGAGCTCACCCAGAGGCCTAGGGCCAGGAACACCAGTGCACATACGCGTGTACACATACACACACACGCACTCTCACCCCAGCCTACCAGGAAGACCTCTGCAAGAGGGAAGAACAGACTCCACCCCATCTTAGGGCCCCGAGAATGATAGGCTGGGACAGGAGAAGGGGGCTCAGAGCCAGGCTTTCATGGCTTCGAAGTCCGCATTCCCACCCACCCACCACACACTTTCCAGAGACACAGAACTAGACTCGACACACAACCACCGCATGGTGTTTGGGGGGTGCAGTCCAGCCTACTGGGGAGGGGAGTACTGGTGCACGGGCTGGCAGTTCCTGAGAGAAATAAACATACTCTTACCATACAAGGAGCAATCGCACTCCTTGGTATTTACCCTATCAAGATGAAAAAGTATGTCCACAGAAAAACCTGCACATGAATGTCTAGAGCAGCTCTCTTCATAATTGCCAAAACCTGGAAGCTGCCAAAACGTCCTCCTTCTCCTTCTCCCTGCCCCTCTATCTCTCTGCAGTGAGTGCACATGCTCTCTGACAAAACAGGTGAGTGGATAAACTGTAGTGCATCAAGACAGTGACATCAGGCAATGACAGAGAGAGACAAGCGACCACGCCGTGAAACAGCACGGCAGCATCTTACATGCATAAGCAAAAACTGTTCTCTGAAAAGGCCACATACTTGCATGATTCAGATGCGGGAAAGGTGAAACCATGAAGGTGAAGAGGGGGGCTGCAGATGGCATAATGGCTACATTGCTGGACTCATACATAGTCAACCGAGGTTCAAGTCCCAGAACCGATGGTTTAAGACATGCTGGGTGCATGTGCACGTTTGCCCAAAATCCTAAGCGGACAAGTGAGGAGGAGGGATTGTGGCATGGCCATCCCTCCGGGAGTGGGGGTGATTTCTCACTTCCTGTCTCTGTCTGTCTCTCTCGCTCTCTCTCTCTCTCTCTCTCTCTCTCTCTCTCTCTCTTGTGCGCATATGCGAGCAAAAATCTCTCTCAAAGAAAAAAAAATCCCCTATAGCAAAAATCTCTCTCAAAGAAAAAAAAATCCATGGTTGTGGGGTGCAGGGTTGAGGGAGGGAAGAAAAGATCAAGGGGTAGAGAACAGAGAGTTTTTAAGTGAAAGGACCCTGTATGAGACTGTCATGGTGGACGTATGTCATTATACCTGTCGGGATCCACAGACTGTAAACACAAGGAGTGAACCTGGATGTAAACTACAGGCTCTAGTCAATAACGTGTTGATGCGGGCTTGTCAGCTGGAACAAACATACTACAATGGGCCGGCCCTGTGGCCCGGTAGTTAAGGAAGCCAGGTCCCACGTGGCCAACCAAGCAGTTCCAATCCCAGCCCTGGCAGCTGGAAAAACACACATACCCACCCAATAGGAGGGAAAAATGGAGACAGGGTTGCCGTGTAACTACGCCCACTGGGAGGGTGCTTTCTCCTTCTCCCTGCCCCTCTATCTCTCTGCAGTGAGTGCACATGCTCTCTGACAAAACAAAAACTAAAAAGCCCACACTATTGTGAGATGTAATAACAGAGGAAACTGGGGGTCAAGGGTGAGGGGACACATGGGAACTCCTAATACCCTCCACTCATTTTTCGGTAAACCTAAAATGTTTTAAAAAATAAACTCTTTTGGGCCAGTCAGTGTCATGGTGGTTAAAGCATATGGATCCCACAATGATCTATAAGCAAACACAGTTCAAGTCTGGACCAGTGGCTTGAAAAATATGCCAGGTGTGGGTGTGTGTATACGCATCTGTGTGTGAGAATCCAGAAAGGAGGAAGAATGGAGACGGATTATGGCATGACCGTACCCCATGGGGAGTGCTTTCTCTATCAGAGGAGCACATGTGCCCTCTGGCAAAATTTAATAAATAAACTGTACTAGTAGGAAGAATGAAAATAACAGAGACAGCACACAAAGGAGGTAACTATCAGAGAGACACAAGAAAGCGTTCTGGAACTGCAGGACTTGAGAGCTGGCATCCAGGCCGAGTAGGCAGCATGAAGAGCAGACCGCCTGCCCCAACAGCCCACAGGGTCGTGTCTGAACACCAGGCATAAAATGGAGATTGTGGGAGCCCCCAGAGAAGGGCAGCGGGTTTGCACATTCAGGATCGAACAGCACAGGGTCCTCGCCAGCAACACTGGGCACCACATGGACGCGTGTATTCCACTCTCTTGGGAAAAAGCTGCCAGTTCCCAGTTCTAGCCCCAGCCAGTCACAGGAAGGTACGAGAAGGCCTTGTGGAAGCGGTCAGATTGGTCGCCCAAGGACTCAACGTTCCCGAGTATACGCACCACACAGATACACAGCACACATACATCACACCACACCAGATACATACATGTGCACACACGTGCCTCAGTCAGCCATATGGCAGCTGTCCCCCACCTGAGATCCAACTACCCCGCAGCTCCAGCTTCTTGAGCTTCTGGTGACCATAAGAGGGTAGGATCCTCAGTATAAAAAGTCCCTATACATCCAAATATCCAGAACAAAGGCATTTCTTTTTTATATAATCATTTTATTATTTTTTAGAATTATTTATTTAATTTTATATTTTGTTTATTTATTTTTCTTTTTTTTGAGAGTTTTGTTTTGTTTTGTTTTTTGCTATAGGGTGCATGCGATCGCCAGACAGAGAGAGACACAGAGACAGAAAGCGAGAAATCACCCCACAAGGGAGATGGCCACGCCACAATCCCTTCTCCTCCATTCTCCTCTCGGGATCTGGGGCACGCACACACACGCGCCTGGTGTTGAGTTTTAAGCCACCGGGTCCAGGAGACGAACCGCAGTCAACTATATGGGAGTCCAGCGACATAGCCATTACACTAACTGCTGGTCCCCCTTATTTATTATTTTTTAATTTGTATAGAGTACATGCACTCACAGGAGGGGGGGGGGAATGTGAGAAAGCAAGCTGCCAGATCTAGGACTCGAACCAATAGGCCATGTGGGAGTCTAGCATCCCAACCACCATACCACCTGCTGGCCCTGTTATTATTTTTTAACTTGACCCAAGAGAGAAAAAGAGAGAAAGAAGGTAAGAAAGCAAGCTGCCAAATTTGGGACTCTAACCATGGTTAGACTGTGAGAGTCCAGTGTCTTAACCACATCCCCTGCTGGCCCCACATAAAGTCATTTCAAGGGCTTGGTGGTGGTGCTGGTGAATAAAATGTGATTTTTTTTTTCAATGTTGAAGTTAAAAAATAGTCTTTGCCAAGGCACCTCTGATGACATCAAATAAGATGAATCCATTATGGCTGAGCCCTCGTGAGCTCATCAGGGGCTACTGCAGCCTCCTCTTTGGGGACGCCCTCAGTGGCCTGAGCAGAGTGAGCTGAGGCTGATGGTTTTCCTCCAGCCCTGGGAAGGCTGCATTAAGACAGGCAGTGGCATTAGCAGGGAGGGCAGAGGGCTGGGATCAGTGGGGAGAGGGCACAGGAGTGCAGGAGAGTGAGGGGGAGCACTGTGTGGTGGGAGACGGCTGAAGGGCAGGCATGAAGTCAATAGGGGCAAGAGGGACATTTCACAGAAAGACCCAGCCCAGCTAACATAATCACACAACTTCATCTACCCAGTGCCCACTCTGGGCCTGATCCTTAACTCTTTAAAGGCCAAGCCCTAGTTACAGTCCCCAAACCTGCACTAGGCCCCATTGAGCACAGGAAGGTCCTGGGAGGTGGGGGCAAGAGAGAAGTTTCTGGACTCCAACCCTAAACAACCACGCCCCAAGTAACTGGAATCAGCGAGCACAGACATCCTGTGCTGGGACATGAAGGTCGGGCCCTGGGCCCCAGCTGGTCACATTATACACACCACAGTGGTGACAGTGGTATCTCTGAGGCCCAAGGCTGCAAGGGCACTGTCACTTCCCATGCCTATTTTTGTACTGTTTG